ACCACACACACACACACACCACACCACACACACACCACACACACACACACCACACACACCACACACACACCACACCCCGCACACGCACACCCCACACACACACCCCACACACACACATACACACGCACACCCCACACACACACACCACACACACACCACACACACACACCACACACACACCACACACACACACACACACCACACACACACCACACACACACACACCACACACACACACACCACACACACCACACACCACACACACCACACACACCACACACACACACCACACACACACCACACACACCACACACCACACACACACACACACCACACCACACACACACCACACACACACACACCACACACACACCACACACACCACACACACCACACACACCACACACACCCACACCCCACACACACCCACACACACACACACCCACACACACACCACACACACTACACACCACACACACCACACACACTACACACCACACACACCACACACACCACACACACCACACACACCACACACACCCACACACCACACACACTACACACCACACACACACCCCACACACACCACACCCCACACACACACCCCACACACACACACTACACATACACACCACACACACACACCACACCACACACACACCCCACACACACACCACCCCCCACACACCCCCCACACACACACCACACACACCACACACACCACACCCACACATACACCCACACATACACCACACACACACACCACACACACACACACACCACACACACCACACTCACCACACACATCACACACACCACACACACCACACACACACACACACACCACACACACCACACACACCCCACACTCACCACACACACCACACACACCACACACACCACACCCACACATACACCCACACACACACCACACACACACACACACACCACACACACCACACACACCCCACACTCACCACACACCACACACACACACCACACAGACACACCACACACACACCACACACACCACACACACACCACACACACACCACACACACACCACACACACCACACACACACCACACATACCCCACACACACCACACACCTCACACACACACCACACACACCCCACACACAACACACACACACCACACACACACCACACACACACCACACACAACACACACACACACCACACACACCCCACACACACCACACACCCCACACACACACCCCACACTCACCAAACACAACACACACACCACACACACCACACACTCACCACACACAACACACACCCACCCCACACACACAACACACACACACACACCACACACACCACACACACACCCCACACACACCACACACACACACACCACACACACCACACACACACACACCACACACACCACACAGACACACCACACACACCCCACACACACCACACACCCCACACACACACACCACACACACCACACACACACCACACACCACACACCACACACACCACACACACCACACACACCACACACTCACCACACACACACCACACACACCACACACCCACACACACCACACCCACACACACCACACACCCACACATACACCACACACACACCCCACACACACACACACCACACACTACACACACACACACCCACACACAGCACGCACACACCACACACACACACCACACACACCACACAGACACACCACACACACCACACACACACCACACACTACACACCACACACCACACACCCCACACACACCACACACACACCACACACACCACACACACACACACACCACACACACATACACACACACACCACACACTACACACACACACCACACACACACCACACACACACCACACACACACACCCCGGGGTGGGGGGTGGGGCGTGGGGGGTGGGGTGGGGGGTGCGATTGGGCAGCCCCCACCCGCTAGGCTGACGTTCACCGTGACGCCGTGACGACAACACCGGAGCTGGGATCCGACGGTTGTAAAAGGCGGGAAAAAAAAAGTCCGATGGGCCTCCCGCCTCGTCCAATCGGGAGCCCCGGATTTTTTTCCCGCCCTTTGCGGACCAGTCGGATCCCAGCTCCGGTGTTGTCGCCGTGACGACGACGATGACAACACCGGAGCTGGGATCCGACGGTTGTAAAGGGCGGGAAAAAAAAAGTCCGATGGGCCTCCCCGTCTCGTCTCGTCCAATCGGGAGCCCCGGATTCTTTTCCCGCCCTTTGCGGCCCGTCAAATCCCAGCTCCAGTGTTGTCGCCGTGACGATGACGACAACACCGGAGCTGGGATTTGGTCAGAGGGTAGGAAGCTCATTTCCCATGAGCCTCTGCACGAGGCTCATTTCCCATGAGCCTCTGCACGAGGCTCATTTCCCATGAGCCTCTGCACGAGGCTCATTTCCCATGAGACTCTGCACGAGGCTCATTTCCCATGAGCCTCTGCAGTGGGCTCATTTCCCATGAGCCTCTGCGGCACTCATTTTCCATGAGCCTCTGCACGAGGCTCATTTCCCATGAGCCTCTGCACGAGGCTCATTTCCCATGAGCCTCTGCAGGAGGCTCATTTCCCATGAGCCTCTGCACGAGGCTCATTTCCCATGAGCCTCTGCAGTGGGCTCATTTCCCATGACCCTCTGCAGGAGCTCATTTCCCATGAGCCTCTGCACGAGGCTCATTTCCCATGAGCCTCTGCAGGAGGCTCATTTCCCATGAGCCTCTGCACGAGGCTCATTTCCCATGAGCCTCTGCAGTGGGCTCATTTCCCATGAGCCTCTGCAGGAGCTCATTTCCCATGAGCCTCTGCACGAGGCTCATTTCCCATGAGCCTCTGCAGGGGGCTCATTTCCCATGAGCCTCTGCACGAGGCTCATTTCCCATGAGCCTCTGCAGTGGGCTCATTTCCCATGAGCCTCTGCGGCACTCATTTTCCATGAGCCTCTGCACGAGGCTCATTTCCCATGAGCCTCTGCACGAGGCTCATTTCCCATGTGCCTCTGCAGGAGGCTCATTTCCCATGAGCCTCTGCACGAGGCTCATTTCCCATGAGCCTCTGCAGGGGGCTCATTTCCCATGAGCCTCTGCAGGAGCTCATTTCCCATGAGCCTCTGCACGAGGCTAATTTCCCATGAGCCTCTGCAGGAGCTCATTCCCATGAGCCTCTGCAGGAGCTCATTTCCCATGAGCCTCTGCACGAGGCTCATTTCCCATGAGCCTCTGCAGGAGGCTCATTTTCCATGAGCCTCTGCAAAGGCTCATCTCCCATGAGCTTCTGCACGAGGCTCATCTCCCATGAGTCTCTGCACGAGGCTCATTTCCCATGAGCCTCTGCAGTGGGCTCATTTCCCATGAGCCTCTGCGGCACTCATTTTCCATGAGCCTCTGCACGAGGCTCATTTCCCATGAGCCTCTGCACGAGGCTCATTTCCCATGAGCCTCTGCAGGAGGCTCATTTTCCATGAGCCTCTGCAAAGGCTCATCTCCCATGAGCTTCTGCACGAGGCTCATCTCCCATGAGTCTCTGCACGAGGCTCATTTCCCATGAGCCTCTGCACGAGGCTCATCTCCCATGAGCCTCTGCAGTGGGCTCATTTCCCATGAGCCTCTGCAGGAGCCCATTTCCCATGAGCCTCTGCAGCTCATTGTGACGTCATATTTCAGTGGGGGTCAAAAATCGGCCTAAACCGCGTGACGTCATTTATGGACGGCCCCTTATTATTTTTGTCTTATTCCAGAAGTTATATTCCGCTTCTGGAAGATGTCTTCCTCTTCCAGAAGTCTTCTTAATATTACAAAAGCGAATCTCTTCTTCTTCCGGAAGATGTCTTCTTCTTCCAGAAGTCCTCTTAATGTTCCTCAATCTTTCTTCATCTTCCGGAATCATTCTTGCGGTTCCACAAAGCCAACTTCCTCTTCCGGAAGTCTTCTTAAGATTCTAAAAGCCAACTTATTCTCCTTCCGGAAGAAGTCTTCCTCTTCCGGAAGTATTATTAGTGTTCCAAAAGCCAATTTCTCACCTTCCAGAAGACTTCTTCCTCTTCCAGAAATGTTCTTAATTTTTTTTCACAAGCTAACTTCCTATTCCTGAAGATGTCTTCCTCTTCCGGAAGTATTCTTAAAGTTGCACAAGCCAACTTCCTCTGCCGGAAGACGTCTTTCCCTTCCGGAAGTCTTCTTAAGATTCCAAAAGCCAACTTCTTCTCCTTCCGGAAGACGTCTTTCTCTTCCGGACGTAGTCTTAAAGTTTCACAGGCTAACTTCCCATTCCGGAAGATGTCTTCCTCTTCCGGAAGTATTCTTAATTGTTTTACACGCTCCCTTCCTATACCGGAAGACGTCTTCCTCTTCCGGAAGATGAGCCGCACTGCGTCATCGGAGTTTGCCGCGCCGCGTGACGGATGACGTCAGCATTCGCGTCACGCGCCCAACCGCCAACCCCTCGTGACCACCGCGGCGACGTCCCATTGGTTCCCTCGTTCCCCCTGGCCCCCACCCTCTCCCCTCCACCCACCCTTAAACTCCGCCCCCTCCCAAACCCCGCCCTCTTAAGCCCCAAACCCCGCCCCCTTTTTTTCACCGCCCGTCCATCCACAACGCTGAGGCAGTCAGCAGCAGGCAGGCGTCCATCCAGCCACTCGCCCAGTCAGTCACCCAGCCGGTCAGTCAGCCGGTCAGTTAGTCAGCCGGTCAGTCAGTCACCCAACCAGGCAGTCAGCCGGTCAGTCACCCAACCGGTCAGTCAGCCAGTCAGCCAGCCAGCCAGTCAGTCAGTCAGCCAGGCAGTCACCCAGCCAGTCAGTCAGCCAGGCAGTCAGTCAGCCAGTCAGTCAGTCACACAGGCGATCAGTCACTCACCCAGCCAGCCAGTTAGTCACCCAGCCAGCCAGTCAGTCAGTCACCCAGCCAGTCAGCCAGTCAGTCAGTCAGCCAGCACAGGCGATCAGTCACTCACCCAGTCACCCACACAGTCAGTCACCCACACAGCCAGCCAGTCAGTCACCCACACAGCCAGTCAGTCAGTCACCCACACAGTCACCCACACAGTCAGTCAAGTCAGAGGCGAGCGGAGCTGATCATCATCATCAGCAGGAAGACGACGACGAAAATGGCGACCGTCATTGCAGGGAGGACTCAGAACCTCTCACACCACCAACAACAACAACAACGTCAACAACAACAACAACGTCAACAACAACAACAACAACGTAGTAGTGGTGGTGGTGGTGGTGGCGCTTCGGGCTCTCGGCAACACGCGGCTGCCGTGACGCGAAACTACATCTCACAACCTCGTCTGAGTGAGTACTACTTAGACAACTGTTACATAGACAACTCATACATAGACACTGTTACATAGACACTACATAGACACTGTTACATAGACACTACTACACACTACATCTCACAACCTCGTCTGAGTGAGTACTACTTAGACAACTGTTACATAGACACTACATAGACACTAATACATAGACACTACTACACACTACATCTCACAACCTCGTCTGAGTGAGTACTACTTAGACAACTGTTACATAGACAACTCATACATAGACACTACATAGACACTACTACATAGACACTACTACACACTACATCTCACAACCTCGTCTGAGTGAGTACTACTTAGACAACTGTTACATAGACACTCTTACATAGACACTACACACTACATCTCACAACCTCGTCTGAGTGAGTACTACTTAGACAACTGTTACATAGACACTCTTACATAGACACTACACACTACATCTCACAACCTCGTCTGAGTGAGTACTACTTAGACAACTGTTACATAGACAACTCATACATAGACACTACATAGACACTACTACATAGACACTACTACACACTACATCTCACAACCTCGTCTGAGTGAGTACTACTTAGACAACTCTTACATAGACACTGTTACATAGACACTACTACACACTACATCTCACAACCTCGTCTGAGTGAGTGTTACTTAGACAACTCATACATAGACAACTCATACATAGACACTACATAGACACTAATACATAGACACTACTACACTACATCTCACAACCTCGTCTGAGTGAGTACTACTTAGACAACTCTTACATAGACACTGTTACATAGACACTACTACACACTACATCTCACAACCTCGTCTGAGTGAGTACTACTTAGACAACTCTTACATAGACACTGTTACATAGACACTACTACACACTACATCTCACAACCTCGTCTGAGTGAGTGTTACTTAGACAACTCATACATAGACACTGTTACATAGACACTGTTACATAGACACTAATACATAGACACTACTACACACTACATCTCACAACCTCGTCTGAGTGAGTGTTACTTAGACAACTCATACATAGACACTGTTACATAGACACTGTTACATAGACACTAATACATAGACACTACTACACACTACATCTCACAACCTCGTCTGAGTGAGTACTACTTAGACAACTCATACATAGACACTACTACATAGACACTGTTACATAGACACTACTACACACTACATCTCACAACCTCGTCTGAGTGAGTACTACTTAGACAACTCATACATAGACACTACTACATAGACACTGTTACATAGACACTGTTACATAGACACTACTACACACTACATCTTACAACCTCGTCTGAGTGAGTACTACTTAGACAACTCATACATAGACACTGTTACATAGACACTACTACACACTACATCTCACAACCTCGTCTGAGTGAGTACTACTTAGACAACTCATACATAGACACTACTACATAGACACTGTTACACACTACATCTCACAACCTCGTCTGAGTGAGTACTACTTAGACAACTCTTACATAGACACTGTTACATAGACACTATTACATAGACACTGTTACATAGACACTGTTACATAGACACTACATAGATACTACTACATAGACACTACTACACACTACATCTCACAACCTCGTCTGAGTGAGTACTACTTAGACAACTCTTACATAGACACTGTTACATAGACACTATTACATAGACACTGTTACATAGACACTGTTACATAGACACTACATAGATACTACTACATAGACACTACTACACACTACATCTCACAACCTCGTCTGAGTGAGTACTACTTAGACAACTCTTACATAGACACTGTTACATAGACACTATTACATAGACACTACTACATAGACACTACTACACACTACATCTCGCAACCTCGTCTGAGTGAGTACTACTTAGACAACTCTTACATAGACACTGTTACATAGACACTATTACATAGACACTACTACATAGACACTACTACATAGACACTACTACACACTACATCTCACAACCTCGTCTGAGTGAGTGTTACTTAGACAAGTCATACATAGACACTACTACACACTACATCTCACAACCTCGTATGAGTGAGTACTACTTAGACAACTGTTACATAGACACTACTACACACTACATCTCACAACCTCGTCTGAGTGAGTACTACTTAGACAACTGTTACATAGACACTGTTACATAGACACTGTTACATAGACACTACTACACACTACATCTCACAACCTCGTCTGAGTGAGTACTACTTAGACAACTCATACATAGACACTGTTACATAGACACTGTTACATAGACACTACTACACACTACATCTCACAACCTCGTCTGAGTGAGTACTACTTAGACAACTCATACATAGACACTGTTACATAGACACTGTTACATAGACACTACTACACACTACATCTCACAACCTCGTCTGAGTGAGTACTACTTAGACAACTCTTACATAGACACTACTACATAGACACTAATACATAGACACTACAAACTACATCTCACAACCTCGTCTGAGTGAGTACTACTTAGACAACTCATACATAGACACTGTTACATAGACACTAATACATAGACACTACTACACACTACATCTCACAACCTCGTCTGAGTGAGTGTTACTTAGACAAGTCATACGTAGACACTGTTACATAGACACTGTTACATAGACACTACTACATAGACACTACTACACACTACATCTCACAACCTCGTCTGAGTGAGTACTACTTAGACAACTGTTACATAGACAACTCATACATAGACACTACATAGACACTAATACATAGACACTACTACACACTACATCTCACAACCTCGTCTGAGTGAGTGTTACTTAGACAAGTCATACATAGACACTACTACATAGACACTGTTACATAGACACTACATAGACACTAATACATAGACACTACTACACACTACATCTCACAACCTCGTCTGAGTGAGTACTACTTAGACAACTCATACATAGACACTGTTACATAGACACTGTTACATAGACACTACTATACACTACATCTCACAACCTCGTCTGAGTGAGTACTACTTAGACAACTCATACATAGACACTGTTACATAGACACTGTTACATAGACACTGTTACATAGACACTACATAGACACTACTACACACTACATCTCACAACCTCGTCTGAGTGAGTACTACTTAGACAACTCATACATAGACACTACTACATAGACACTGTTACATAGACACTGTTACATAGACACTACTACACACTACATCTCACAACCTCGTCTGAGTGAGTACTACTTAGACAAGTCATACATAGACACTACTACATAGACACTGTTACATAGACACTGTTACATAGACACTACATAGATACTACTACACACTACATCTCACAACCTCGTCTGAGTGAGTACTACTTAGACAACTCTTACATAGACACTACTACATACTTAGACAAGTCATACATAGACACTGTTACATAGACACTACACACTACATCTCACAACCTCGTCTGAGTGAGTGTTACTTAGACAACTGTTACATAGACACTGTTACATAGACACTGTTACATAGACACTACACACTACATCTCACAACCTCGTCTGAGTGAGTGTTACTTAGACAACTCATACATAGACACTGTTACATAGACACTGTTACATAGACACTACATAGACACTGTTACATAGACACTGTTACATAGACACTATACACTACATCTCACAACCTCGTCTGAGTGAGTGTTACTTAGACAACTCATACATAGACACTGTTACATAGACACTGTTTCATAGACACTACATAGACACTGTTACATAGACACTGTTACATAGACACTATACACTACATCTCACAACCTCGTCTGAGTGAGTGTTACTTAGACAACTCTTACATAGACACTGTTACATAGACACTACTACACACTACATCTCACAACCTCGTCTGAGTGAGTACTACTTAGACAACTCTTACATAGACACTCTTACATAGACACTATTACATAGACACTGTTACATAGACACTAATACATAGACACTACTACACACTACATCTCACAACCTCGTCTGAGTGAGTACTACTTAGACAACTCATACATAGACACTGTTACATAGACACTACATAGACACTACATCTCACAACCTCGTCTGAGTGAGTACTACTTAGACAACTCATACATAGACACTGTTACATAGACACTGTTACATAGACACTGTTACATAGACACTGTTACATAGACACTACATAGATACTACTACATAGACACTACTACACACTACATCTCACAACCTCGTCTGAGTGAGTACTACTTAGACAACTCATACATAGACACTGTTACATAGACACTGTTACATAGACACTACATAGACACTAATACATAGACACTACTACACACTACATCTCACAACCTCGTCTGAGTGAGTACTACTTAGACAACTCTTACATAGACACTGTTACATAGACACTGTTACATAGACACTACATAGATACTACTACATAGACACTACTACACACTACATCTCACAACCTCGTCTGAGTGAGTGTTACTTAGACAACTCTTACATAGACACTGTTACATAGACACTACATAGATACTACTACACACTACATCTCACAACCTCGTCTGAGTGAGTACTACTTAGACAACTGTTACATAGACACTACTACATACTTAGACAACTCATACATAGACACTACTACACACTACATCTCGCAACCTCTTCTGAGTGAGTACTACATAGACAACTCTTACATAGACACTGTTACATAGACACTGTTACATAGACACTGTTACATAGACACTACATAGACACTGTTACATAGACACTACTACACACTACATCTCACAACCTCGTCTGAGTGGGTACTACTTAGACAAGTCATACATAGACACTGTTACATAGACACTGTTACATAGACACTACATAGACACTAATACATAGACACTACTACACACTACATCTCGCAACCTCGTCTGAGTGAGTGTTACTTAGACAACTCTTACATAGACAT